TACCGTAAAATATTTCGTCACACGTTTCTCCAGTACTACTGAACATAGTGACGTTATATTTTGTTAACAGCTTTGAAGTAATGCGTTGTACACTGGTTCTCCGGTAAAGCGCCCAACGTCCGAGTAAAAAATGATAAAATATAAATTGCAGCAAAACTTGTAAATAAAAAACATGGAACATCCTCATAGTATATTCTTTCCAACATATAAATTTCAGCATGTAATATGCTACCGTTAATTTGTAATGATCGAGAGAGTTTAAATGGAAAAATGTAAAAAAAAAATACATTTAACGTCATTTTATTTCCTTTGACGTCGTTATCTGATAGCGTGATTTCCAATACCGAAAATGCTAAAAACTTTGAAATCATTATTTTTACGGTGTTTTCTAATCTTTATTAATTCTCAAAAACTTTAATGTGCGTTTTTCTTGTGAGTTGAAATTAATACAAATTAAGGTGGTACATCTTCCTGTGGACTGTTTCCTTGTGAACTAGTACGCCAAAAAAATCGACTCAGCGTGTTGGTCTTGTACAAAGCAAAATAAATATTAATATCGTATTAACATGCTTTCGACCCGAATATGCATATAATTCGCCGCCTCTTCCCTTCCCCCTCCTCCTCCATATCACCATCATCATCATCATCATCTAGTTTGCCAATCTGTGTTACCATGGATTATCATTGATGTGGTCATATTTATAAATATTTTCAAAATGCACAAGAATGGCGTATAATGCATTCATCCCTTGCTTTGAATAGTTTGAATAACTAAGAATTTTCTTTTGTAGACGAAACACAACCTTTGAATCTTTGATAGGTTACTTCCTTTGATATTCAATAATACTTTTTTCCTTGGTATCGGAAATTTGAAATGTTAATATAGGAGAGTGACGAGACGTGTTTATATCAGATCAAAGGATTAAACGAATAACTATTTTTGATAATGTTTAAAGTTATTATAATACTGCAATTTTAGAGGAGAAATGATTGATTGATTGTTGTTTTCTGAACGTACAGTGGCAAATATTTCATGCAGAATTATGACCGAGAGAAGAATTTGCAAACAATAAATAAGATGTTCCATGCGTTGTCGTTAAAAAAAGAAATTAATAAAACCCAAAAACTAATAAAAATAAACAAAACCATGACGAGAAAGAGAGACGACAAAAACAAAAACAAACAGCTAAAAATAAAATATAAAAACATTTTCAATAGATTTTTTATTCATAGTAGGCAACCCTCGTTGATGGTTGGTTGTAGCATATTAATCTCACCGACTTTAATTTTAAAAGAGACCATTAAAAACGACCAACTAAACAGCTTCTCCTTGTAGATACTCTCATACTAGTAGTATAATGATTTGATTTGTTTTTGGTGTTTTAACGCCACTTTTAAGCACCGCTTTTGGGCTATTTCGTGGTGGCCAGTTTTTATTGGTAGAGGAAGCCGGAGTGCCCGGAGAAAACCATCGACCTTCGATAGGAAAACTGACAATCCTAGTCAATTAAGATTGGAGTCGAGTGCACCCGCACAAGCGAGGTTCGAACTCACATCCTCAGTGTTGACTCGCTAGTGATTACAGCTGTAACTACTTAGACCACTCGGCCACCGAGGCCCAGTAGTATTATGTATCCTATTCCGCTTGAATATCTGATATTTATTGGAAATAACACAAGATATATGAGGTGGTTTATAGAATAGAAAATAATGTCCCCCCCCCCCCTTAAAAAATAAAGAATGAAGAAAAATAGGCAATCAAATAAAGAATAGAAAATAATGGGGTGTAAAAAAAATAATCGTATAAAAATTATAAGAATAAGGTAAAGAAAATACTGATTTCAGAAATAAATAATTTACAGAATAATGAAACTTCGCGTTTTCGGCATATCAAATTTATTATTGATAATTGACAATAGACAAGTAGATCATTTGGAATGAAATGTTGAACTGGTCGTAATCGGAACTGGTTTATTGAAATTAGCGATGCAAATTATATACACTCATAAGCATCGGTATTTTCCCCCAAAATCACGATCTTGCACGAGTTAACGTATCATTTCGTTTCAAAGCGCTATTTTGGATTTATCTTCATCATTTACGCCCAGCGCCGAATATTTGAAAGCAAAGGATATAAAAGAACAGAAAGAGTTGATGAACTATATGACCAAAAAGGACATAAAAAAAAATAGCCAAATCAATCGAAGATTAACTTTGCCCGATGGAGTTGAAACCTGAGTCTCTTTATAATTTTAATATTCTCCAAAACAATTGATTAATAGGCAAAGTTTTAATATTTTGTTGGACAGTTGGGCAATCAAGGATAAAATCTAGTTCTGGTGATTGAATTTTTACTCTATCGGATTTCAGATTTCTTTTAATGTCGGTTAACTACCGGTACTGTCTCTGTTATAAAACTTAATGTTCAGCTTCTCAGTACTAGTACCTCATATGACAAACCAAATATGATCAAATATACCTCATGTCATCTTAACTTCTGTTTATTATCCCAGATATCCAAATTATCACGAAGAAATTAAAATGGTCTTTTTCTCCCCCGTTTGGTTTTAATCAGATATTCAGATATTAATTAAAATTGATAAATGGTATCATTTGTGCAGTACAGTGACAGATTAAAAAAAGGGGGTTGGGGTACGGGGTAGTGTCGTCATACGTATGTCGTTGATACAGACAAGAAGATTTATCATGTCAATATTATGATACAACAGGAAATTTTCATATGCAGGATCTGAACACAAGAATTTTACAGAATAATCATATTTCTTACTGAATAGAGAAAAATGGCCTAAAGAATAACAGAATACAGAAATGTAGACCCCCCTCCCATAATCCAGACCGTCATATATATTATATTGTGACGGATAGTTTTGTTGATCTATTTAAAAAGTAAAATCACAAAAATACTGAACTCCGTGGAAAATTCAAAAGGAAAGTCCCTAATCAAATGGCAAAATCAAATGATAAAACACATCAAACGAATGGACAACAACTGTCATATTCCTGACTTGGTACAGGCATTTTCAAATGTAGAAAATGGTGGATTGAACCTGGTTTTATAGCGCTAAACCTCTCACTTGTATGACAGTCGCATCAAATTCCATTATATCGTTTATTTATTATTTAACTGTTTTAATTTTCGAAAAGAATATTTGTACAAGGTGTTGTTAATAAATGTAACGGACAATATATACCATGCCCTCTCAGCCGACGTCGTAATTTCATTTAAATGAAAGAAAGTATTTAAAAGCTTGTTTCCCTGTGCAACATGACATAAAACTCATTAGGCAGAGCAATTTTAATGGCTACTTGCATAATTGTTAAATCGTATTAAATTCGGTATCAAATTTATATTAATAATAAACGTTACATATCTTGAATATTGAAAACAGGTTAAAATTATTTACTTGCATTAATATTGATATTTATCATAATTTATATTTAGTAGTAAATACAGAAGTTTTGAATATTTGATAAATAGCCTGCTGTTAAATCCGCACCCATTATCACACCCTTTATCGCATGTCTACCTTTCATCGCACCCCTATTCGGATTTATTCAGAATGTGTTTTATATAGTACAACATTACTAAAGGAGGATAAAAAGAACTGAATGAACTACCATACAAAACACAAACAAACAAAAAATACAATAAGCAAAATATTTCTATGGACAACAGGACCTAAATTGAAAGGTAACCCAATAGGCAGTTCCTATATATGATAAAACTTTTAAAACATGGCAAAAATGAATAAATCTGAAGGTAACCCAGGTGCTTTAGATCAGTAAGCAGTTCATATATACTCTCCTGTTTAAATCTGTGATAAAGCGTAAACATGGCAAAATCCGTATCACATGCCGTATCATGATCCCTCTGGCTGATATTGGTATCTCGGGATGAATCGGCATGTGATACGGATTTTGCCATGTATTATTCTCTATAAAATCATCCGGTTCGGTTTTTTTCTAGGTCTGAGAAAAAAGCAACTGTGTTACACTTAAACAATTGATTAATAAAAATTGTCACATGGTGTCTTCTTATGTCGATAATTACAATGTATGTTATTGATCTGTATGTTATATATTCGCCATCCGCAATAATTATCTAATATGTTTATTTGGCATGCCATACTCGATAGAAGTGCGGACGTGATAGAAAGCACTCTTTACCAAAACGTTAACGGAGATAACATTCCACGGAGGTTACATTTCGAAGATTTCGTCATTTATAAAACATAATACGTGTATCTGAAGATAGAAGTTGTACTAAAATTAAATGTTGACACCGATATCGATCTGTTTTAAAATAGGTGTTTGTTTAGAATAGACCATTCCACGGAGATCACATGCTTAACAAATCTCTGCAGTTTTCATCTTTGTTTAGTTTTTCAGACTGATATGATTTGGAATAAATGACCATTGTTATAAACAAAATTATTTATGGTAACCTTATAATCAAATTTAACTCATATCACACTCAATGTTGTGGTTAATATTTTTTTTCCGTTAACGGAAATTACAGCTAGGTTTACGAAAAAAATATTTTGACGGCCGTACCGATCACTGTCGTTGTGCAACATGTACTAAACTTTATAAAAATTAAAAATATAGATAATAAAGAAATATAAAAATCTCAGATATAAGTATAACAAACTACGGGTATATATAACTCGAAGTCGTTAGTTTTGCTTTCTTGTGGTGGGACAAATTAACATCATAAAATGGGCGCTTTAACGAAGAACCAGTGTCTAACGTGTAGTTGGTTTTCAGATCTGTCAAACATCTACGTTCTTGTCATCGACACTGCTGAATTAAGAGTGGTGTTAAAACATGCACATTTCTTTTTTGTATTGTTTATTACTTTTTTATTAATGCATACACATTTAGGATTATTTTCAAACTATTGTATTCATGTGTATAAAATGTAAGTTAACCTCACGATAATATTCTTTTGAATGTGATTTTCAAATGAGCGTGACATTTCATTGTTTAAGGTTTATATCCTGGTTGAATTCCTGCTTCCGGATTTCATCTTAGCGACAATAATGAAGACTGTTAGACTTTTTCATCTTGTCTTGACGACTTCATTTATATTGAGTGCTGCAGTCGCAGGTTAGTGATTACAAACATAAAATTATGAATGTTTTGAATGTATAAACATTTTCTTCTTTGAAGGCATATGGTCGGAAGACTATCATATATTAAGTAAGTATTGTATATTTATTTTAATCCATGAACTCTATTGCGAAAGATAATTTTTGCATTTTTATACTACATATATATTGGGCATTTAATTCTTTGAATAATCCATGCCATTAATGCATATTTAAATATTTTTGAAAGTTTTATTCTTCGAATAAGGCATCGGAACGAATCCTAACGATTCAGTGATTTAAACCTTAAATTGAATTTAAAATTAAGATTACATATAAATTATCGCTCTGCTTATCTAGTATAGAAATGCTTGTATATGATATGAGTAAAGCTCAGTAAGTAGAATTAATGCATATATGTTTTACGTCCATTGTTAATGTTATATGAATTTCAACCCTGCTGAGTACGCAACACGGTGAGTTGGAATTTTTATGTGCTTGCACACAAGGTACTGGTCCACAGGAAGACATTTCTTTCTACCCGGAGACGATTTTAGTTTTGCTTTAAAGTGTAAGATATTTTGATCATCTTTTGATCAAGAAACATTAAGATAATCAACAGGAACCAATGCATTTACTTTGAAAAAAAAATATACGTAGGTAGTGTTTGCCCCTGCCTTCAACACAAACGTATTAACACAAACATCTTAGATAAGTAATAAATAAACAGCTCTCTCTCTCTCTCTCTCTCTCTCTCTCTCTCTCTCTCTCTCTGTGTGTAATAAGCCATAATCGGCTAAATAAATGTTTGGATTATAATTTCTCAAATATGTTTAGAATTATTTTGCAAATCAATATGCCATCACAGCTAAATACAAGCAAGAGATTCTTTCTCGTTCAAATAATTCGGCAGTGGCTAAAAGTTTATTTTTATCAATGATTACAATTATAATAGGAATGTTTATCAGGAAATAATTGAGGAATGTTTATTAAAAAAAATCAACAATCGAATATCATTTGCATATAACTAGATTTTCACCTTCGTTAGCGAAAAAGGAAGAATTCTTTTGATATTATCTAGCAAATGATCTTTACCTGTAAAAATACATGATTTATGTTACTGAAACACACAATAAAGAACACTGAGTGAAATACAAATCCATTGGGTTATCTGTCTTAACAATGATACGGATTTACTTCAATTACGACAACAGTAACTCAACTATTGCTTGTTTGTGTTGTGTTTTTTTTTCTAACCTTGATTTGTCTCTTCTTAATCGATTTATGAAATTTAAACATCGATAAACTACTGTCGTCTTCATTTACCATATACATGAATATACCTCATTGCCCAGTATTTCTACACCTTTAGAATGCTTCTAATGCAGAAAATTGGACATTGATTTAAAATGTAAAATGTACAGGGATTCATTGGTTCTGTAAACAAGTAAAATAACAAAAATACCAAACTCCAAGGAAAATTCAACACCGAAAGTCCCTTATCAAATGGTAAAATCAAAAGCTAAAACATATCAAACGAATTGAAAACAGCTGTCATATTCACTGTCAAAAATGAATTCTGTTAATTCAAAATTAGAAAGCAAGACACGCTCGTCGAGATTAATCTCCACCATTGCCAAAGCTTAGGGGTCATCATTTTATTTCAGAGAGCGATACTGAAGTGGCAATTTTGGTCAATGGTACTGGCATTCTGAATTGTACGTCTGATAAACAGTCAACGATATATGTTGACTCTATCGAGGTTAACTCACCATTGTGCAACAGCACTGATACAGCAGTTGTATGGCACTTTAAAAGTATTTGCAATGGTAAAACAGTTTGTGAATTTAGTATCATGAATGAAATGAGGGACGTTAACACAACATGTTCTTTGAATGGGACCGATAGTGATCTACTTGACGTAAACTATCACTGTGTTCGTACGTATACTTTGTACAGATTTTACACCGATAATAAACCTAACCTATTATGGGTAAATCAGCTCACAGATTTTGTCTACTGAGAGGCAGAATTAAATTTTGTTAACAATAATTAATGTAAATAAACTTAGTAAACAGCCATTATGTCTGCTTGAATATCAAGGATAGATATTTGAACAATTTTAAATCTAAAACAACATAATTGCTATCTGCATATTGTTAACTGCACAAGCCGCATTTTTAAGACAAACATGTTTATCCTATATTTTAGCTCACCTGCACCATCGGTAATGGAAGCTTTTTATGTTAGTTTGACGTCTACTGGCAACTAGTATTTTGCATTTGATCTTCATCTTCTGGAAAAGCAATGAAAACGATAAATTCCTTTATACGCGATGCAACTAACATGTCAACACTCATTGCCGCCATAGCCTTTTCTAGTTTCCGATTGGTTTGAATTCTATTTAAAAAACTCTAAATATTGATTCGAATCAAACTGAATAGTTATAGATAAACTCATCATAGATACCAGGCTTCTAAATACAAGTTCCTTTAAATATCGTTTGTTATTTATGATGTTTTGAAAATCGATGTATGATTAATAATGTTTACTGCTTTTACTGTTGCTCCACCTTTTTTCTTCTGTGTCTGTTTTTATGTTTTCTCGAAATAAGTTAATGCTGCATAAAATCTATTCACTTATTACTATTCATGTTTAATTGTCTAGCCATATTTTTGTAGGTACTGGTATGTGGTCAAAATGGAATGACTATTCCTTTTGTTCTGTGACGTGTGGTGGAGGTGTACAAACCAGGTCACGAATGTGTACCAATCCAGCTCTAAATGAAAATGGTCATAACTGTTCTGGTAACAATGTAGACGAAAAAATCTGTAACACACAAAACTGCTCTAGTAAGTCTAGATGCGTTGTACAAAATGTATACACTACATATACATTAAACGTTTTATGCAGTTAAGGACATGCATCATTTAAGTATTCCCCATTCCAAACTAAAAGACAAATTGAAAGAGTTGGTATTACTTTGTTTCATTAAAAAGAATGGCGAACGTAGATACAAGTGTCTTGTCTTGGGGAGGGATAAATCCTACTTTGTAAAGAATCACTCTGATTCAAACAAAAAATTCTCTGAAACTGACATTATCAAGATGCTTGATTTCTTGATTGACAACATATTTGTTACGTTTGGAGGACGTGTTTTTCAACAGACTGTCGGCATTCCAATGGGAACCTATTGTGCCCCTCTTCTTGCCGACTTGTTTCTTTATTATTATGAGGCTGACTTCATACAGGAACTTCTTAGGAAGAAAGATAAGAAGTTAGCAATATCCTTTAACTCTACGTTCCGCTATATAGATGATGTTCTCTCACTAAATAATACAAAAATTGGTGACTATGTCGAATGAATCTATCCCATCGAACTAAAGATAAAGGATACTACAGATACAATTAAGTCTGCCTCATATCTTGACTTACATCTAGAAATTGACAATGAGGGTCGGTTGAAAACAAAACTTTACGACAAAAGAGATGATTTCAGCTTCCCAATTGTGAACTTTCCATTTCTATGTAGCAACATTCCAGCAGCGCCTGCATACAGAGTATATATCTCCCAATTGATACGAAATTCCCAGGCTTGTGTTTCCTATCATGATTTCCTTGATAGAGGATTGCTGCTCACAAGGAAGCTATTAAACCAAGAGTTCCAAATGGTGAAGTTGAATCATCCCTTCGTAAATTTTACGGACGCCATCACGAGTTGGTTGACCGTTATGGAATAACCGTTTCACAGATGATACCGGATATGTTCCTTATGTCGTAACTACAATACCCTTCCCTTTTCACGAATGTGACTTACCAATTTAGACTATTTACCGGATTTGTAATAACATAAGCAACACGACGGGTGCCACATATGGAGCAGGATCTGCTTACCCTTCCGGAGCACCTGAGATCACCCCCCAGTTTTTGGTAGGGTTCGTGTTGCTTAGTCTTTAGTCTATGTTGTGTCATCTCTACTATTATTTGTCTGTTTGTCTTTTTATTTTTGGCCATGGCGTTGTCAGTTTGTTTTCGATCTATGAGTTTGACTGTCCCTCTGGTATCTTTCGTCTCTCTTTTAATTCATACCTTTACCAATTTGAGAATAACTTCTGTTTTGTAATTGAATAATTCCAAAGCCTTTAGTTTGTTTACCTTTTCTAACGTTTACACCATTCTTTCTCTCTGCTTTTTACACTAAATAGTTATTCGACAAAATACACAATCTACATTATTAGTCAATCTCCATTAAAACAGCTTATGTATGCAAACAGGTTCTAATGTTAGAAATGTTGAAGTTTTCATGAAACGAAGAAATAAGGAGGAAACATTCATATTCTTTAATATTTCTTGACAATTGATTACTTTCACTGCTAGAAAACTGGAGGTGATTTAATAATTCACTACACTTAGTATGGTTAAATTTAAAGTTAATAACTGGGTAAATATGTACATGATGTATCATTTCAGATCCTTTCACTAAGTACTATATGGAGGAAGACACAGCTTATCTAACATGTTCAATTGAATTCAACGAAATAATGACAATAGTTGCAATCAAATATGAAAAAGGATCCTGCAGTCACAATGATTTACATGGTATCGGGAATATATGTAACGGGATGACAGAATGTATTTTTAACGTTTCTAACAGTAATGTTGGTAGTTCATGTGGTGCTAACGGAACGGCATCTCTTGAAATTACGTACAATTGCATACGTGAGTTATACCTTATAGCCTTTAATAAGACGACAATGCATTTTGATCCAATATACAGCATATTTTGTGTTTTATTTTCAAAACCTAAAAAGATAGAACATGATACTAGAAGATGTTAGGCAAACGTTAATAAGATTGCAGCCACACAGTACAAAGCGCAATAAGTAGACATCTAGAATTCACGCTTCAAACAATAATTACTTTTTTCATTAAACTAGCTTATATGAATGCATGGTAGTATCCTTAGTCATTCATCAAAGTTATCTTTACATATGTACCCATGAACACAAATTTAGAATAGATTAAAAGGCTGCTACAATAAAAATTATAAATTGTTGCGTTTAAGCCAGAGGAAAGTATTCAAATTTGTAGACACGTTTGATAATTATCTTATGAATCATCTATGCAGGAATGCATTCCCAAATGACTTTCATATTCTAAATTAAGAAACGCATCTTCTAATGTCTTTTCTACAACTGGGATGCTACTGTTGCTACTGGACAATTCGTCGCCAAAAGGATCATGAGCTCAATCGTCAGTGTTTCGGAACTGCAATGATTTATAACATACTTGCATATACACTGTATTTAGCTGTTGTTTTTATGCCCCGTTTTTGTTTTAACGTTTTTAATCAAGATTAAAACGGAAAAGTTCTTCGAAAGCACCTAACTTTATTTAGCTCTTATTTCCCTAATGAATTTATGAATCCATATCGATAAAACTGCCAAATTTCATTACAGCCCTTATTCGTTTCGGAGCAATTTCAACACGATTATTCAATGAATCATAATGGGTATTAATACATTATACAATAACATTCTATAAAATCTCCATTTTACCAAATTTATAAACCACTGGTATATGTCTATCTACACGTTTCTTCTATCTAACCGCAAAAACTAATCTTTCAACTTAAAAAAAAAAATATTAGACCATTCCTTCCCAGGTGACTGCCGTTTTCCAACTTGGTGTCCTATGAACACAAATGACATGATGCTATCAAATAAACAATCGGCCGTGCTAGGTGTCTATTCTCAACAACCAGCTTTCTCTTATTTGATTTGCAAATCATAATATGTTTTATGTTTAAAGCATTGCGATAGAAAAAATGACTAAATTTGGGTGTTGAACAGATATAGATCAAAACAAAGCATAACGATTCTCTTTCTCTGAGATTTTCTTTGTTTCGTCTTTTTTGACTGAGAATTAGAAAAGGGGTCACATAGGTCTTCTTCCAACCGACAGTTAATCCCTTGCCACAACGGGGCATCCGTTTGGCTGTGAGGGATGTACAAGTACGCAGCTATGTCCTGTCAGAATGGAAACGTTTAATCCCATGCCTCGTGGAAGGGGAGTGTAACGCTTCCTGTACGTTGAGAACCATTGCAACAACTCTTTGAGGGACCCGTAAGTGACCTGTTGGAAGGCAAAATTTCTGTCCTCATCCAATTTACACTAATTTTCAAGTGGCAGTTCAAATGTCCCCGAGCTTCATTCCGGACGGCCTTTATTACAGGACCTACCTATTTTATTCATTGCTAACTTGTTTTGTCCTGAAATAAATAAAATATGTGCCACTGTTCGTTAAGCAACAAACAATCAATTAATCATTTTGTCTTCCGTAGACATGTATTGACAACATTGATGAAATAGACAGAATGAGCACATTTCATCTCGGACATGTTTCCTCGAAATGTAATTTTTGGATTCTGCATTTGGCAAAACCTTCCTGAATCGTTGGTTCTCAATGCTATTCAACTTCTTGTTTAATCTTTATAAAAATAAGGAGATGTGGGATGCTTGCCAATAAGCCAACTATCCACCAAAGTTCAAATGAAGTGGATGTAAGCAATTATTGGCAACCGTACGGCCTTCAACAATGAGAAAAACCCATACTGTATGGTCGGCTATAAAAGGACATGAAAAATATGAAACAATTCAATTGAGAAAACTAACGGCCTAATTTATAACAAAACAATTTACGAAAAACAAATATGACAGATATGAACCAATGACAACTACTGATCTACAGGCTCTTGACATAAAGAATGTGGCGTGGTTAAACAGTTTGTGAGCGCTCAACCCTCCCCCTAACCTTTGACAATGGTGTAACAGTACAAAATAAGAACAAACTATAAAAATCAGTTGAAAAGGGCTTAACTCATCAGATGGATACAAATAGAAATACATCTAACAAAAACACAGAGTAGACGTGGACGGGTACTTGTACTTCCCCACAACAAAAAGAGACTAAGTACAGATATGAGAGTACTCGCAGTTACTGGCAGCTAGTTCAAAGCCAATAACAACTAATAAAGAAATCATGTATCTAAGACTAAACTAGCAATCGGTACACATCCAACATCTGATGTATTTAGTGTAAAGACGTCATTAACAGTCAGAGAAAAACATGACCTTGTGCAATGCCAAACTATAGGTATCGACAGATTTGAGTGCCGTAAAAGTACATATGTGTTATATTTAGTATGATTTTAATCTACTGATAACAAAATCAATAGTTATACCAATAAAAACAATATTCAAAGATTTAATTACAGTGTTGAATAGCTAACCTTTTAGAATAAGTTTATTTAAAGGATTGATAAATTTACCCGGATCGTATCTAAATTTCCGGGCTCGGTTTACAACATCACTGTAAAATTTAGGATGTGCTATTCCGTTTGAAATATGTTTTCTACAGGTACAGCCAAACTTGCAGACAAATCTTTGTATCTAGCCTTTTTAACTTTTATGATTCGAGCGTCAATTATGAGTCTTTTGTAGACGAAAAGCGTGTCTGGCGTACAAAATATTAATCCTGGTATCTATGATTAGTTAATTGGAAATTTTTTTTCACCACCCCCATAATGATAAGAAAGGATCAAACATTAAACCTTACAAAATTAATATAACGATGAGTTTGTTCTGTAATCTAAATTAAGTGCTAAATATTATTACATCAGTTGTCTTGAAATCAATCATTGTATCACACAATGTATTTTTTTAGCTAAAACCACATAACCATTTAAACTAAATATGACCGGAATTAAATAATAAGCATTATAATAATTTAAGTTAATTGTGAAATTCTTTTTTTTCAGTTTTAAACATAAATGGCTAATGATATCCTAACAATTTCTGACTTCTGACATATATGTTAAGTATTGGAGTTAGATTCATATATTTATGAAATTGTACATGCAAAAAAGTCAACTGAACTACTCTTTCTTCACTGAACATGATGGTTGCTATAAGTGGAGTTGTTTTATGTGTCATCCGGTGGCCCCTAATTCAGTTCTGTTTTTTTGTAGGATTTATATTGTTCAAGCTTCTAATTTTCATGGAAGGTTACAAAAAACATATTCAGGCTGATTATGTTGTTTTAAATGATTCTTTTTTACACAAAAAAAAAAGCCAATTGGTCTGTTATACTTTCCAATATCTTCAGCTTAATCTGTTGATGATCGAATGGTTGCAAATCAACAGAGATCACTAAAATCAATAAAGTTGTACCATCCTGTTTATAAACATTGTCAACTTATCTAATGATAATTATTCATATTCTTACTTAGGAAATGGTGGTTGGTCATACTGGAAAAATGCAACAACATCTTGTCCCGTCAACTGTGGTGGTGCTTTACAAAATGTTACACGCAGTTGTACAAACCCGACCCCAAATGAGTTGGGAGCCTCGTGTTCTGGAACCAGTTTTGATGAGCAAATATGCAATGACAATTCTTGTCCTTGTAAGTACAGCTGTAAACTATTCTGAGTGTATTAGGCGAAGTGCAAAGTGTATTTGATGTACGTACGTATATTTTGAAGATATTTCAAATAATTTCAGCAAAGTATTGTTCATTTCCGATTGAATTACGTTATGTGAGAACAACATTGTCTAGGGTTTTCTTTTGTTAATCTGTGATATGTGGCCACAAAAATAATGAGACCTTATACATGTTATATATTTCAATAGTTTGTTACATAAGTATTTTTGTAGACAATTTCGTATGAGTTTTCGTAAGCACTAGTAATTTTTTTTACCATGAAAATTTCGGAAAGCCTATTAAGTAAATCGTGTTACTTTGTATGGCAAGTCCTTCTCTTCTAAACTATGTGTAAGTTTTTCGAAAGCATTACATTTGGATATTTAACAAAATATACTAGAATGTAATGCCAATCTTACAGTTACAAAAACACAATGAGATTAACAAATCAAAATTGATAATTACACATTGAGAATTGGGAGCGCATTTTAATAGTCGCAAATATGTAACTGGCATATTTCGGGTACAATTGAATAGGTGCATGAGGTTATCTATGGTTCTGACCATTGGCACCTTCAGGTACCGTTGAATGAAAATTATGAAGATAGATATGACAATATGACCAGAGTTCCCGCACGTTTCTAGTATGCTTACTGATCAAAGAAAACCTTACTCACAAAATGACAGCGCAAAAGAAATTTCGCAACCAAATTAGTAATTGATTTGATATCTAAACACCACAAAATTCCTGAACAATCAAGGCATACCGTATTCGGCCTTCCGTGTCAAAATGACTTATCTAGTGTATAATTGTTCAACTCGCATTGAATAGTAAAAAACACAGTTTCACTTCCCCACGATAAAAATTATTATATTATAGAGACATGAATGTGCAACCAGCAACCAGTTTTATATATTTTATTATATCAAGCACAATAGTTTGACTATTTTGTTTCGAAGGTAATTTCCTGGTCGTTTTAATTTTGTATTGGCAATAACCTAGTAATTTCTGTTTTCTGTTGTTATCATGTTCATACGATCTGGTTGAATACAATTAAATGAAGTCGAATGAAAATTTTAAATATATTTGAATTCTAAACAGTGTTTTTTTACACATACAAGTGCATTGCTATATGTAGAATAATCGTATTGCAAAACAAAAACCTATAAAAAAAGTGTTTACCAACTAAAGGCTTCATTGAATTTGATTCGAATACTTAAAGAAGGTATTTCAACAAAGCTAAACAGGTAGAGTAGAAAATATCGGCCAATCGGACATCGGACTTTTAAAATGTCTTGTGGTTGGTCGTAAACGTATAATTTTGTACGCTGACATGATATCAGTATATTTAGGGAGTAAGTTTCAAGTGAACACTAATTTGGAAACTATTAGGGAATGATCATTAGGTATTTTGATGGAGTATAGGGATTTTGGAATATTCTCGTTTGGAAATAACTGGAAAAAAAACTGTACCCAAGACAGGATTAATGTGTTTCCAACAAATATCAGGACAAGGCAGAAAATAGTTGGGTATAAGAAGGAACATAAATGTTCGCGTAGCTGATATGTCATTTCATATGAATGAATGTAGTAGAATACCATGCCAGAACATACATAAAGTGCAAGCCAGATAAACAAAATATTACCACTTTATCTAATAGGAACAAGGCAAAGGTATACGACGTTCAATGAGAACATGGGTTTCTAACCTTTTCAAAACGCCCAGGGTTGTGAATGCTTTATCATATCTTAACAATAAAATATGTGGTTGTTCCAGCAGAAAAAGCCTCTAACAATATTGTTTTTACGCAAAAACCATTATTTTGAAAGCTTAGAATTTACAGCAAAACTGTAAAGCCCTTATATATCCCTGCATCGTTAAGAAAAGGGATAATTCAGAAATCACACATCCGTCATTCTGTCCTTTAGTATTACATTGTAACGAGGTTATATTAAAAGTGACAGCACGATAGACGTTAATTACAAATAAAGTGTTACCTCCTTTTCGATCAGAAGGTGCCAATTGTGCAGCAGCCGGTTGTACGAACGTGGCATTAGCCTAAAGGGTCATTAAGACTTAATGAGTCATTAGACTAATGACACGTTCGTACAACCGGCTGCAGATCTATAAGGTCGCAGAGAGAGACTATAGATAATTACATCCGAGCTAGAACGGAACTGCCCGAGGGTTTATAAACCGACAGAAATATTACAAAAGTAACATGGGATCATTGCTTTCTGCTCGACAGCAGACTAAGGGACGGGAAATAAATTTTGAGCCAGGATCACAAGCAGATAGAAAAGTCAACATCAGATCATTGACGATTGGAGCCTGAAACAAATTTCATCTAGAAATATTCTGTTTCTTCAGGAAAAATATCTTGATCAATCTGCATGAATTGCTAAGTAGCTGATGGCTTTGGAAATAGATTTTACCAAATAGAAAACTTGTAACAATGTGCGTTAAAAATGTCCATGAATAAAGAATGGATATCCTTTTCCTGTCGCGCTATCTTTAACAACAAATTGACGTCTTTTCTAGTTTGAAAGTTTCGCACTGGTTGCATCACCGCCTTTGAAAATTTAAATTCATGGTCAGAATTATGCGTGGTATCGGACCAAAGACGATATTTTATTGTCAATTTACTCATACATATGTAAGTTGTTTATAGAAATAAGAAGATGTGGTTTGAGTGCCAATGAGACAACTCTCCATCCAAGTCACAATGTGTAAAAAGTTAACAATTATAGGTCAAAGTACGGCCTTCAACACGGAGCCTTGGCTCACACCGAACAACAAGCTATAAAGGGCCCCAAAATGACTAGTGTGAAACAATTTAAACAAGAAAAACAACGATCTAATCTATATAAAAAAACGAGCAACGAGAAACAAGTATTAACAACATCAACAAACGACAACCACTGAACAACAGGCTCCTGACTTAGGACAGGTGCAAACAAATGCAGCGGGTTTAAACGTTTTAACAGGCGCCAACCTTCGCTCTAACCTGTTTGTTTATTTGTTTCTTTGACTTTAAGTTTTCAGATGCCGACAAGAAAATAAAACCCTTTCCCTGAAACTAACTTGCAAGTTAGTGAAAGGAAAATTTAGAATATAGTAATTTGGGCTAAACATACTATTGATTAGAGAAGACGATTGGTTCTTTAAAAAATGTTAACACACATACATGTTTTGTCGAGAAAAAAAATCAAATTAGTGAGGTACCAATCGACATGCCTGACAGTACTAGTACATGTAAAAATGTATGTGTACATCGTCTGACCCTTGAGTATGTATTTAAGCCATGAAGTAGTGGCTTTTAACAAAATCAAAATTAAACTCAGAGGATAACGAGATATTGATTTGGCATGGCCAGAGTGAGGACTACAACATAACACCCTTAGAAAGCCCAAGGATTTATAAAGTTACAAATCCTTTAAAAGACTGAAACTTAATAGTTCTATCAGGTCGCAAACGGTCAACGTAATGAAAGTACCCCACATCTTGTTTTGCTTTCTATGATATTTCCGTATTATCTCCATGAGACAACAGGGGAAAGCATATTCAAGATCCTATGCTTATATCTAAGTATTTCGCATTTTTTATCTACAGCCTTAAATCATGATAAAACAAACTTTTCGGTGGTTCTTGATACATTTATCTTAGTTTTAATTACAACTAGTTGCTCTGGTCGCCGCTACTGGTCACAATAAGGAAGGTTCTTCGCAATTATCATTGACAGAGCCAGACAGACAGGGAAAGTGAAATCTTTGTTCAAGGCAAGCTGGGAATGAATAAAAATTGCATTCTAAATTTCTTCAAACCTCATAATTGTGTCCTTTCTTTGTCGTTTTCCGCCGTAGTTATACGATATATAATTTCGGATTTCGCATACAATGTTAATTCACAGTATTAACACTTAAAAACTGAGCTACTTACGATAATAGTTTGTATTTTATTTACCCAGTCACCGATTAAAATTACGTGACATTAGCGATTTAACTGATTACCCGAATTGTTCACGGTCACAACCTTGTACACCAGAGGGCTATAGCATGGGGTGAACTGTGTGGTACCTGTCGTGTTACTCCTGTTATAATTCAAAAAAATATTATAACTTTTTTTATTTCAGTTATAGGAAGCGTATGTAGAGATACCAAAACTGTTTGGACATGCCCAGATGGATATATACAAATGAAACGTGCAGACTGGATAGCAAGTAACACTTGTGGTGTGCCTGGAATTACGTCAAAGTTTGATGTTCTCCGAGAAATGAGGCAACATTGCAATGAAAGGAAATCTTGCACATTTACAGCAAACGATAATACTTTTAACGTTAGTTGTAAAGAACTACATAAAACATGTTCTCAATTAGAATATGAATATATATGCACAAGTAAGTGAGAATGAATTATCAAATATAGTAGTTAGCAGTCATCAATTATCACAAATGACTCACGGGATGATTCATTAAGTGGTCATTTGAATTTATATTTATTTGTAATTCTGCAAACCATGTTTTGTTTTAAATCGAACTTTTTTTAATTGTTTTATTGATTGATTCGCTTGACACTAAAACATAAGAAAATTAAGTTATCACATTGTGATGATTATCCATTTACGATGTCTTTCATAGTACCTTAATGAACGTATTTATATGTAGACAATTAAATTTATTGATATTTTAGCATTTAGATAAACACTATTCTTTAAGAGAAAAAAAAATACACAAAATAATTCTAATGCGTAGACACATTAAAACAGTAGAACCATGAGAATTGTTCAGTACTGTGCAGACTGTGTAATCACTTTTATCAAATTTGTGTACACATATAAATATATTAAAAAGTATGGCAATATCCGTATTTTGTGAACTTCTTTTGTAAGAGATCATAGATCCGCTTATTTGTATTATTTGATGTTCGCATGTTGCAGAAGCAAAATTGAATACTTGGACTGAGTGGTCGATATGTTCTAAATCATGCGGTTCTGGAGAACAAGTAAGAACACGCAACTGTTTAAACCAGTTTAACACAACGGATGGTTATTTGATTGACTGCAAAGGGTCGTCTGAAGAAACAAGAATGTGCAACAGTATCCAGTGTCCATGTTTGTATACATGATAAGAATGCAATATTAACTTTTTACCACAGTTATCTATTTGATAACCTCTGGTGTACTCAAGCAGACTACCATTTTTTTAGTTTCACATTTCCTCTAAATGTTGACTGTTTAATCGTTGAAAAACATAATTGTTTCGATTGAGATTCTTACATAAGTTTACACTTCTTATCAACTGATTGAAACATAAATGTATAATTTTTTTTCAATTTCAACAAATGTATGCAAACTTTGAGTATCGACGATAAAAATGCTGAAAAGAATGTCCAAATGTAAAACCAAAGTTCATAGTAAATAGCTTACTTAAAGAATAATTAATATTGTAACCGGGTGTCGTTAAATGTTTCCTGCTTCTCCACTGAGCACGTACGGCATCTGGAGTAGGAATAAAAACGGCTCCTAGTCAGAGGTGTATTTCCGAGTAAGGTGACATGTCTTCCTATCGATTGGTACGATGTGAATTTGGACGTTAATACTACAACTCAGCCTGTCTGTTTAGTACAAAACAAAGTTCATATTCGTATCACATTTACATGTTCTACAGCGATGTGAAATGTTTATTATATTTTGATGTTAGGAATATTGGAAATTTTTACAGCAGAAAATGAAAACTTCAAGTGATCAAAGTTTAACAAAATTGGATTTAGATTAGGCATATGAACGTATTGTAATGCTAATAAATCATTTCCAAATATTTTTTCACAGATTGCGATGAAAATATTTTTCCTCATCAGATACCAAGTAATTTCAAACTTAAACGGGATGTGTCTTCTAATTCTGGTAATGTTTTATGCTTTATTCGTTATTGCCATTTGGCCATTTTACTCAATTTCTACATGTCTGAAATATGCTATGAAATTTTGATTAACTTAACTCTTATGTAATTCATAATATAACGCATACGTGAAGAAAATGTAAATGATAACAGCAGTTTTGAGTGTATCTTTAATCAAATCAGTGTAAGTAAGGAGATAACATACCGGTAATTGTTTTCGAATGAAAAAAAAAGTTACGCAAAAAACTTGTATTTAGAGTTCATTAGAAGAACACAGAACTAGTGTACATATACATTATGTTGTTCGCTGAATTTAACTGTTTAACATTAAGCGAGATTGTAATCATCATTATGTTACGTACCTTATAAAACCTATTAATTTGATGAATCTTTAACTTTATTTCTACAATTTAGTTTTTCTTCTGTTATCTTTTAGTACATGTTTCATTTTTTTTTTTTTTTTGCAGTTTATGTTTTTAGAATGAAAAATCTGTATTTTCTTTCATAAATCTGATATCTAGGAAAGACAGACATATACAAAATTGGATGTTGTGGTACAGTAAATGCATTTCAATTTATTCCTATAAATACTGGAGATGTTAAATTTATTGTTTGGAGGCGCGTGAGAGGAAATACATACAAAGCTATTAAGAAAAATACAATATCCGTTACAGGTATGGTATTAGTTGAATCAGTAGTATTGAAACAGTATGCACCACATCTATTCAATCTTTTAGAATATGAGCACTTTTTATTGTAGAGGAAATGGTATAACCATTTAACACGTAATTGTAGTAGATACAGTTTCGGTTCATTGCATAGCATTACTCATAACACTCAGAGAAACAATAATTAAAGTTTCACCATGCATGCACGCAACCTTATTACACTTTCTTATACGCATGTGTACCATATATGCAGCAGTCGGTAAGTTATCCTGCTTAAAGAAGACGTGTAGTACTGATCTCAATGTGTTATTAATGTGTTTCTTGAATAATCTTCATCGCTAACACTCAAGTCTGAAGTTGGGAACGAAAAATAGACAAAATGATAAAACTTTGGAAAATGATAGGTCTAAACAGAACAGTCAAAACTGTCTGACAGGAGAAAAAAAATGTAATGCCTGTACAAAGTCAGGAATATGGCAGTTATTTTTCATTCGTTCCGTTGGTTGAGTGTTTGTTTTTTTCATGTTTTATATACTTACCCCTCTTGAATTTACTTTGGGGTTCGGTATTTTTGTTCATACAGTTTTTCTTTATCTAAGTTTGAATTAGCCATACAACGAACGGTACTACTCAGAACTGATAGTCTACCAGCAGTGGTACCGATGTCCGACTGTATGAGTAATTAAACACCATAACAGTCAAATGGGCACATGTAACCGTAGTAGCTTTATTTGAATACATAATCATAATGTTCAACATTTCTTAAGAAAAAATGTAGAATTTAAATGATGTCAGTACCAAGCTTTTGTTGACCATTAATGCCTGTAGAAAGAGCCAAACATATATTTTTTACAATATTTATTTCAGCACAAAACATTGGGAAGTTTGTTCAACACAACTTGACAAAATATGAACGCATAGCTGTCGTGCATGACGACATAGTTGGATGGTCAGTTATTATGTTTTCGTTTTTGCTGTTGTTTTAACGCGTTAATTCAGCAAATTTGTATTTGTCTGAGGAATGTAACAAGTAGCTAATTCAGTTACAGTTCATAGTGTTATTTTCAAAGGGAATTTGATATTTCTAGATTGTCACTATTAGCTTCCAGCTATTGGTAATTTAAAGACAATAATTTGCATTTAATGAGATAAACATTTGAGATACCCTCTATGTAGGTGTTACATGTAGGTACCTGTCTTAAAGATGTATATCTTCTTTTATTCAAATGAACATAGAACATTTATTACACTTATATATTTGAATAAATAAACTCCATAAACTGCAAACGACTAAAGAAATAATTAATTGCATAACTATACTTAAATGGACAGCAATATAATGCAATGATTGCTTTGTATCTATGACGAGTTTATTAAAGCGGGAAACGAGGGAAAACTTATAACGCAATGGCAAAAAACGACGAAAAGACGAACAAAAAATCAAATAACTACATATTAAACGAAGGACTGAATAGCCCGCACCCCAACTAAACCGTGGTAGAACTCATGTGCTTCTGAAAAGAGTACTTCCTGCTCCACGTCTGAAAACCCAGTGTGTTGCTTATGCAAAAACAAATCAGCCGATGTCTCATTCGTTGATGTCACAATTGGTTGAATTGCTGAAACGAGGACGGTATTGTGGTTATGACAACGGAACACATCTTTGGTAATCTATTAAACAGATATTCCATAACGGTCAACCAACTCATGATGGCGTCCATAAAACTTTTCAAGAAATGACTATAATTGTACTACTTAGAACTTTTGGTTCAATAGGGGGATATATATTCTATATGCAAGCGTAGCTGGAATGTTGCTACATAGGAATGAAAAGTTCAAAATTAGGAAGCTGTAACTATTCCTTTGGTCGTGACGATGTGTTCTCAGCCGACAATCATCATCATTTTTTTGTTCTAAGTCAAGACATGAGACAGACTAAACAGTACATGTATCCTATATTTCAAGTTCGACGGGATAAATGCTTTCCATATAGTCACCAAACTTCGAATCATTTAGTGAGAGGAATCCATTTGTATAGCGGAACGTGAATTTAAAGGGTAATGATAACTTCGTTTCATTTTTCCTGGCTTCATACCACAATTAAATCCCTTTGTTCTTGGCCTTTAATTCCCAAGTATAATATATGGGGGTATGTTTTCCTTATTTTACTTGACACTGTTTCCTTTAAAAAGTTTACTATTTACGTGGTCGTATAGGTTGCATATATATTGAAATAAGTAAAAAAATGTGGGAAATATTTAGGTTGAAAGTAATTTGACTAAGTGAAAGTCGGTTAGAAATTAAAGTTCATCAAGCTGATAAAAGTGATAAACGAAATATTGATTGGTTAATAACATCAAAAAATAAATATAAAATAGCACACAATTTTTCAAAATCGTAGTCGATAAATATCTATCTAAAACAAAACAAAAAACTGTTAATAAATGTTTGCTATGAAATGATTTTTTAATAAATTGCGTTCTTTTTGTTTTTATATGTCGCGCTTAAAGAAACAATCTACAAATAGATAAGGCGACGTATATTGTAAAAATAGTGCCAATTCAATATGCACGCTTAGATGCAGCATACAAGAGAAAGCGCGCGAAAAAGTGCCGGCCTCCCTATATGTCTAACTCACCTATATGTGTGTTCAAACAGAATCCATGTCTTAGTCTGCAAAATAAAAATATATTTCACTGATCGTATATTGCAATATGAAGTTTAAGATAGATGCATACTTCAACAGTGAACTCCTCCTCTTTATATAGGTACGATGGCGGCAATAATATAATCGGATATTACGACTGTTCTCCCGACAATGAAACCTGTATGGCATTTTCATTGATGAAAACCGTAAATGATGGCGATGAGATTGACACGGATGGCTTACCTTCTATATCTGAAAAAATATTTGCATGGAATTTTTCAACAACTGAGAGTAAGTTAGTCATATTATGTAGCTGAACATTTCAAAACTTGGTTAATATCAAATTATATTACCGTTATCAATACAAAACGCGTATACTATATTGTATCTTTTAAACAGAAATTTCGAATAAAATCGTTAAAAACAATTTTCTCCGTCCTAAAATTGTTTTCAATATTTTTAACTGAACGTTAATCAAACATCAATCTATCTCACACTGCATCAGTTGTTGCGTAAGAGCCTAAGCGAATTAATTTTTGCAGATCTATATTCTTCAGTAAATCCTGTTATTCATGCCATGGTTTGAACGCGACATTTCGCAAACCTAATCAATTCTAAATTGTTGATTTTTGTTGTAGACATGGCAGTTGAATTGTCGTTTGCAGATGACTCCATTGAAATTCCTGACAACTCTGCAGTAGACACCTATGTGACAAACATTAGAATCAAAGACCCAGATCAAGGCGATTTCATTGAGAATATAAAACTGGACTATGACAATCAGTATTTCTATTTTGATACAAAATTAAGTAGGTATTCGAAGAAAATAAATTTTACCAATTATATTTTGTGCATCACAAACTTAAGAAATTGAAGTATATTAATTTCGATACCTTTAATATTGAAACACTTTATATTATATTATGTATTCTAAAAAATTTTGAGACTTGTCCCCATCTTTAATAATTTTGACTTAACGAATACAAAATTTGTATAATAATTCGGAACCTGTTTAATTTATTAGATTAATCTTAAAATTACTTTCAGTTTCTGTTTCCTTCAAAACGAAAAAATGTAAAAAAATATTAAACATAACATTACAATTTTTCTTTTCCTATTGATTAAATTTATACTTGAAGACTTTTCGTAAAGATTTATAGATTTAGCTATTTTGTTCCAGATTGTTTTTATAACAAAAATCAAATGCATGAAAGAACAAAGTGGATAAAGTACCCAAGTGTCTTTCAAAGACGTCAATTCATCAACACCGACGTCGATTTTGCAATGTTTCTCAGTCTCAACTATTTGTCAAAACTATGAAATTTTTGTCATCGTATTGTACAAATATTTAATTTTTTCCACAACTTTAAAAAATTATTTTGACAATATATAAATGATAATCTAAGTTAAGTTTTGCACAAGTATATTCTACACAATTATAATAGTCCAAGGTATACAATGGTGTAATACTACATTCATTATAGTCCAATTCGCCGACGCACATTTTGAATGAATTTTTTCATACCCCAAAGGGTGACTGGGGAATAAAAATATGGTAACTACAGGTCTCCTTCCGACCAGCAGTAAAACACTTGTCAAAGTGGTCATCCGTTTGGCTGTTCGGAATGTACAAATACGCAGCCACGTCCGGTCAAAATGGGGACATTAAATCCGATGCCTCGTGTAGAGAGAGTGCCACGCTCTCTGCATGTTAAGAACCCTTGCAACAACTCCTTGAAGGGTCTGTAGGTGGCCTGTTGCAAGGCTAAATTTCTGTCCCTATCTTATATACCCTCATTTTCTAGTGACAGTCTAAATTTTACCGACATACATCCTCTATTACAGGACCTTCCTATTGTATTTATTGTTAATTTGTTCTCGTCCTGAACATGCATGAAATATTTGCCACTGGACGTTTAGCAACTAAAAATCAAGCAATCACTTCATACTAAAAATGTGCACACGATCAACATATTTAGAACCCTGTAAAATTACAAAAAGAAGCATTCAATTCTTATAGGTACATATGTATGCGACAAACGTGAAATTACGAGTTATGTCAATTTTTCGTTCGTTTTACTTTGCATTTTTGTGACGTGGTCACGGAAAGCACATGCTGTCATGAATGTTGAATTTTATTGAGAGATAAAATCTAACTCTGAAATGCCTATCGACTTTTTTCAGCCAATCAAAAGTACAGTTTTTAGGCAGCATTCACAAACGCACTTCTCATCCGCCAATACCGTAATATCAAAGAAGGCACTAATATTAAGGGCATCCTATACAGTTTCGAGGGAGTCAACTCTTGGCGCGACGTTAAGCGTTCGAATTCCCGCAAAACGTCATTTTCCGCGGGACGTCATGCGTGTAATATTACACGCGAATTTTAATCGCAACTTTTACAACAACAAAAAACGCAGTTTTCCATGATTTTATTACACACTGATGGCCTTTTTTTTTAAGGTCTTTATACCTGTGCAAAATCATCACAGCTATACTTTGAGGTTTCTACAACATTATATGTTATTTCATACCTGTGCAAAAATCAGCACTGATATACTTTGAGGTTTCTACAACATAATGTTATTTCTGAACGTTTACTAACAAGATTATAAATGCTTTAACCCTCTTGATGCCACATTAAAAAAATCAACGTTTCGACTTTGCCAATGGGCAATGACAATTTGACGTCGCCAGTACCAAATTCTTTTGACGTCGTCTTTTTGGCGTTTTTTTTTTCTCATATTGATTTATAAAGTTGTTTTTTCTACGCGACCGGCATTCACAATAGCGGTGACCAGGAGATCATTTTGATAATGCTAAATTGACCGATTAAAATCTTTCTATACAAATTTGCTTCTTGATGGACCAAGGAGACTCAAGAATGTAAAGTTAACTGATAAATTTTTGAAAATACTGTTGAATTTGTGCAATTTACGTGTTAATTACTTTACCCATTTAAATTTTCGACTGATATTATTCTCCAAAACGCAAGACCAATTATTAAAAGTTCTTTTTTTTAATTGCATCGGAATATTGTAAAGTATTATGCAATACTTATTTGCCACCTACAATTTTGGCTATATATTTTCATATCATAACAGTTTTTAAAAAGATATTTTAGGGTTTTATCTTCGATTGTTTTTGTTTTCTACTGATGTGAACATTGATATTAATATTTTGCAAACTAATTTGGGTAAAATATATGAAAAACTTCGGGATGAAAAATTATTGTTTATATCACCAGTAAAAGATAATTGTCCAAGGATAAATATTACTTATAAACATATTAGATTTGTGATAATTTTTTTCTATTAGTTGATTGAAATCCAATTAGAAATAACTTTATAAAATTTATATTTAAAAAATGTAATATATAGCCAAAAGTTGTTCGTGAAAAATACTTCTCGGCCACTGTATAAAAAGGAGTTGTACATAATTTCTTCTAAAAGGGTAATGAAAGGTCAGTTATAATCGTTTTTCCCCATGTTCAAGAACTTTTATTTTTCTATAAGCAACATTTTGATTTAACAATTACCGATAAAAAAGAAGGCGAGTAATGTCGTGATATTTTAACCTAGCAACATTGTCTTGTGCTGTCTCTATACATAAACCATGTGAGCAGTAGTCTTTTTTTATATTACATGTAAGAAAATTTTTTCTTGCATTTAATGTTTAGGGATAAATTCAGAAGACGGGCTTAAATTTATCTTAACTTGTCTCGACACGGGACTATTAAATATATGAAGTTATATAGATGTGATTGCGTATTGAATGTTTGTCAACCTCTGTTTGTCATGATTTTTTTTTAATTTATTGTGTCTTTTGATGTAGGCCTAAACCACTTCTTTTTATCTTGGAGATGGGGTATTGAAGGTAACAAGATTCCTTTTGTGTAAATTTCTGTAGAACAACCTCAATTTCAAAAACATACAGCAAATAAAAAACAGTATGAAAGAAAGTATTGCCCGTAACTATTATCGAAAATAATTTTAGTACCCATACTCCTTGTATTCTTCACCTGCAAAACAACTTATATCATTTCTAAATGGTATATTTTACATCATTAACCGAATCAAAAGGTTAAAAATAGGTCCAGATTTTAGAGGCCGTAATAACCGCTGCTGTTTTTGTGTAAAAAAAATTGTGCCAGTAGAGGGTGTCTCCTCTTATATATCTTTTCGTGTTCTCTTCTAACAAATGCATAGACATTGGGTGTTCATTTTGTATTTTTTAATGTGAATCATCGCACAGAGAAGTACGATTATCGACAAGATCCTTTTAAGTTAAATTACAAAAATGAATTTCGAACACTCGGAGAACATATTGTTTCATCAGTTTATTCTCTATAATTTATTTATGAATATTTCATGTCCAGGTCTGTGGTATCTGTTTAGTGAAAATCAAATCCCTAGCTTCTGTTAAATCCGGAAAAGTCAGACTTCAAATAAAAAATACTGGTCCCTCAGGCTTTAAAATTTCAAGCTGGATACAGATGGTGCATGCATGGCTAAAAATACCAAAATAATGTCAAAAACATTCAGTAACTTTCATTTTTTTTTTCAATAAATGATTAAAAAGTTGTGTGTTATACTTGAACATGAGTATGAATAAGCCATATAGTATTAGAGATGAGGTTTTTCACTACAGTCTAGTCTATATATAATAAGACCTTATGTAGTATTATGAATTAGGTCATTAATTTTCTCAATTGAATTATTTCACATTTTTCATTTCGGGGCCTTCTATAGGCGACTAGTGGTATTGTTTTTCTCATCGTTGAAGGCCGTACGGTTGCTTGCAATACTGCTGACATCCACTTCTTTTCAACTTTGGTTTATTTTTGTCTCATTTGCAGTTATACCACATTCCCTTATTTTTATATTATAAGTATAAAATATTGGTCGCTGAACTAAATGACATGCAATTAATTAATCGTAAATTCAGTTTTAAAATTGCTTTACTTAAAATTAGAATTAAATATTTCGTCTATCAACTATGTGAAGCCGACTGGAATTGTCCGTCAATAATGCACCATATAATGTTCAATGACACGATTTCATTCTAAAATGTTTGTAAAATATTTTTCCTGCGGTGTTCACACAAATAAAACAGTCAAAGTTCACGAAATATATGTTTGTAAAAAATGGAATTAAACCTTTCCTCCTTCACGACAGGAACTCAGCTAGCAATAATAAAGAACACTTTGAAACATCAAAAGGAGTTAAAAACATGGTTAAATTTCAATTATCGAAAACTAATAAATACGAAATTTTGTTTATCAAATTAAAGTAAAGTATTTGTCGCTTATCAGTCAAACACCATTTGGGTAAAAGGAACTCAATTGAGATAAGAAACTGAAGGCATTGGCAGTGTGTATTTTATCGACAATGTTAGTGAATTTCTGTTGAGTTCCATGTTTAAAATTAGTGTTTTTCTAAATTTCCATAACTCCAAATCTCAATATTCTTTTGATATTTAGCGAGTCCTAACTGTGCGATCTCTTGGGCCATGATTCTGTCATGGGTGGACCGATTTCCCGTTTCGGACTGAGAGGGTAAACACATAAACATTGCTATTCGAACATACGTAATGTGCGAAACTTTCTAAAGTACTTTTCAACACACAGCCTGACGAATATGTCGGATATGCGGTTAATAAAGTGTTTTATATTATGTTAGTCTGGTAAGTTACAATGCCAAAAAAAGGGCGGCCCGGTCTTGTTGTTCAATTATCTTGTGTTTCCAGCTCTTATGTCGATCTTTAAATCGTCAGCATCAGTGTCATGTGCGTGCATGCAAATATAAAAACCAACGTTGTCGTTTGCCGCTGGAAGACGGGTTTTTTTTCAGAGAAAGAAAGCTCAATTTACTTGTGCCATAATTATAACGTCACAATGACGTCATGGATATTACGTCATTGCTCCAAAATACACTTAGATGACCGATGGTCAACAATGTTATAACGTATTAATTATTTAGTGTAGTATAGGTTGCAAAGTTTTGATTTATAATATATACTTATTGTAAAATTGCTGAAACGACATATATGTCGCCTTGGCATCAAACCCCAAACGACTTATATGTCGCTTTGGCATCAACACTGAAACGACATATATGTCGCTTTGGCATTAAGAGGGTTAAGTGACTTGCTTGAAAAATTGTAATTTCGGATGGTATATGTTGAAATTTGGGAGAGGAATAAAAAGGACGCACAAACCAAAAGCAAAGTTATGGGTAGATATTAATTCAATCTTTTTTGCCAAATCAAAAATTATGAAAAATTTCAAAATTATTGCAAAGTTTCTCTGTCTGGTAAAAGCCTCCTTTAACAAATTGAAGATTCTGCTATATAAGATTTTTTTTTTCTGGCAAGTTCCGTTTGTAGGAAAAGACCTCATGTACGTAACCTTTGTGCTGTGATCCAATCGAAATAAGCGTACTTTGACCTATAATGGTCTACTTTTTATACATTGTGACTTGGATGGAGAGTTGTCTCATTGGCACTCATGCTACATCTTCTTACCTATATAAACAAGTGAACTTTAAAAACTGGCTAAAAACAGTAGGAGCCTCCAAGTTTTCTTCAACTGTAATCATTCACCCGAATAACAGTTTGATTTTATGAATAAATGTGAAATTATCTAAAGAGATTTAAATGTGAATAAAGGAATGTTAAAGGGGTATGTCAATGAAACAGCAACCCGCCAACTAAAACAAAAAACCATCTAGAGGTCAACATGTGGTCTTAAACAATACACGAGTGTGTACAGTACCGGCATGGCAAGCTCTAAATTGCCGCGAGTCTTTAAACTAAGCCGTAAAAAATTAACAGTCCGTAATAACTATGCTTGAGATGTTTCTCACATGGAACATAAACAGAATAAAAAGAGAGAGGTATTTATGATACACATGTTTTATTTCCGATAACAATATTATTATTTTAAGGTAGCTCTTTATAAGCAATATATATACACACCTGTAAAATGTCGCCAATAACCTTGCAAAAATAATTGGCGGGAGACGTCGAAATTGTCAGCCACCGACGTGCATTTTCGCGCTAATGTTGAGGTCACCAAGGGGGGACGCAATTTTTAGGATAAATCACGATTTATGTTCGAATCCATTTCAATTCTAATGTCTTAGTTGGTAATGTTATTATCTATCAATTCCAGGAAACATCTACGTAAAGGAAGTCTTGCCACATACAGTTGGACAGAAATCTTACAGCCACAATATTACACTGACAGTGCAGGACTCATGTTATAATTCTATAACTACAAATGTTACGATATTAATATATAATGTTGTAAGTACATTTACTTAAGAAATGTCCTACTGATTTTGATAAAAAAAAAAAGGTTAAAAATATAAAAAGGAAATAAAATCAAGTCGAAAAAGTAAATATCACAATAATGAACAAATACACAACAAATAAACAACACAAAAAATAACAAGAGTTCATTTTATTTTACAAAGTATACTAAAGTAACCTCACAGACAGATATGATAGCAAAATCCGAAATTCTGAATACGTGATAGTTTGATGATTCCAATCACTTTTGAATGAATGTTCATGTTTATAATCCAGATATGTCCAATTATAAATATTCATTGTCCGAATCGCCTATCTGGATTAACATTCACAAGATATGTTCACACCAGAACATTGAAAGCCAGGGATGAACAAATATGTAGAAATGATAATGCCAGTAACAAAAATAGTTCAAGAAGACTACACGTACTTTCATCAAATTTATGCTAAGGAATGCACTATCTAAATTATGCCTATACTTTTTAATCATGTTACCGACCAAATAAACCTACAAAAGTACCAGTCTACCTGCACCAGTTTCAACAACTGGTAGTTATCCAAACAGTCCAAATGTTTAAAATCACTAGGTGATATAAACACTTTTTTCATTCAAATCGCATTGTCCGCTCTTGTATTTACAGCCTCCTGTGATTAGCGGATTACAAAACACTTTGGAAATAGATCATGCTACAGCTGAAAGCAATCCATATCTTGCAAAATTCCAAGTAAAGGACCCTTCTGGTGATAATATTTCTTGTATGATCAACGAGACGAATGTACCAACAGAATTGTTTTACCTACAGCTTGATGACAAAGGTATGACTAGGTCACACACAAACAGTAAGATAAAGTTACGTGAAAGTATATACAAAATGTACGACTAAAAAGGAAATGAGACAGGAACCCAACACTACAAACACCTCACAACATGCCTAGATGTCAACATACATTCTTCGACAACGGGTGGTAATACATCTAAATTGCCCCGATAAAAAAAGATTGTATGTATCTTCAATATCTTCAATTTGCAATTTTTTTTTCGTGTGTCAACAAGTAAACTTACCTTTTACCTCAAACGTTGATTCATGGTTTTCAGTATACAGAAATTATTTGACATTATCCACTTTGTCATGGTAACATACACTCTATTTGCGTTTGTATTATATTTGCGTAGTGCATTTTATCATATAATATATGTAAGTGTTTTTGTATCGGTCTTGATTATCCTTTATTTAACAAGGAGATGTGGTATGATTGCCAATGAGAAAACTATCTAACAGAGTCTACGAAACATGGATTTAAGCAATTATAAGTCACCGTACGACCTTCAACAATGAGAAAACACATATCGTATAGTCAGCTTTAACAGGTCCTGACTTGACAAAAAACAAAAACAATTCAAACGAAGGCCTAATTTATGATAAAACAAAAACCGAAGAACAGATATTACAGACAACAACCAATGACAACCACTGAATTAAAGGAACATACATAATGGTGCGGGGTTAAGCATGTTTGTGAGGTCTGAACCATCCCATAACCTGGGACAGTTGTGTCCACTTAAATTGTGTTTCACTTTAAGCTTTATTATTTATTCATGTATTAGGGTTATGTGCAACGTGAGGACTTGTGTACTCGTTAAAACATAAATTTAGGCAAGAAACATTAACCATTCAACAAACTGAAGAAAAAAAACATAAGAGAAGATACTAAAGGGTGGGGGTCACAAAGAAAACATACGTTGAAGAAAGACGGACAGCACTAGGGCTCAAAGAAAAAAATGATTACCAGAAAAAGAAGAGTTCACCAAAAACTGCACAGAAAATAAACACTATATATTGAGCAATATAAACTGCACCAAAAAAACCGGGGTGAATTCGGAAAGTGAAGGCAGCTCCTCTAGAGGCACCCGTATTACTGCTAAAATTCATAACCAGTCGGTTGAGATTTAATTGATCGTTATTGAACATCCGTGTCCCGATTTAGATATGTGGTAGGACTCTCTATTTGGTCGTTTTCAACATCCGTAAAATGCGTACAATATAATTTACATAAAATCGCATTTGAATAAATAGTTAATGCTAACTTACTAGTAGTTTCAACCAGAGTCGGGGAGACAGCATTTAAGATTAACAACCTTGTCCTTCATTTTACAGATGATTATTTGAAATTGGTTGTTTATATGAATATTTCACGTAATTCAACTTCCAAATTTATGTATATCATTATATGTGGAGATGGAATATAAAACTAGTTTCAGACGTAATTAGTCACACAACATTTATTATTAACAATCTTAAGCTTTATTTTACAGATGCGTATTTGAGATTGATGAATAACGTGAGCATTCAAAGTAATACAAGTTCCGAATTTATACTTATTATTATATGTGGAGATGGAACAGAAAACACAGAGTTCGAGCTCAAATTAAAGTTTCGACCGAAGAACGAGGGTACATCGACAATTCCGTCGAACGAACCTAGTGCCATGCCAATAATTATAGGGGTATGTGTCTTTATGTTGTGTCTTATCATTTTGGTCATACTTGCATGCTTTTGTAAAAGGCGGAGAAAACTAGTCGTGAACGAAACGTCGGAGGACAAACTAAAATATGCCACGTGTTCAGTCGGTGCAGATGTTATAGAGAACCAATATAATGATATGGGACAAACTGTAGACCAGCATAAAACTAACGATTACGTAGAAATGTCCGGCAAACCACCTGAAAAGGAGAAAGCATTTCACTTAGGTACGTCCGAGGTCGGCGCTTACACTGAAGCATGGAGATGATTCATTTACTTTTATGTACATTTTATTTAACACTAATATCGTTTCTTTTTTCTACATTCATTTATTATTAAATATCAATGTTTTCTTCATAAAAGATTAAATAAGGACGGTTTCATCTATAAAGGGATTTTGGAGGTGATTGTTTGCTTCAAATTTGACTTCTTTTTGCCTAGAGTTGTAATCACTTTTATCGAGGCCTGTTCTATTGGGGAAAAAACTGTCATTTATTTTATTTGAATAAATATTCGTTAACATATCATTTGTCTGCATATATACAATATAATGATTTTTACTATATACATTATTTATAAATGCCATGTACATTTTAATTTCTATTTCAGTTGCCATGTATTTGCTTTTTATAATAAAATAAAACTATATGCATTTTAAACGTCACAGTTGATAAAATAGTTGTATATTCGCCTTCTACAGCTTATAAATATCATAATTAAAATACATACATCTTATCCTTATATTTGGATCGTATTTTCGAAAAAAATTCTGTACATCATAAATATTTTTCAAACTGCGTTTTCCGTTTAAAACAAGAAACAAAAATGAAATTGCTGATAGTTTAGAATAAGAACATTTCAAGCTCGTATTAGTATTGAGCAAATATCCACAATTCATAACTGCAGTCAACGTTTGCAAAAATAATCATCGTGTATCGCCTTGAAATCTTCCGTGTGGTTATTATTTTATCATTAGTAAAGAAGATGGGTATACGTCACGATACAGCAGTCAAACGACACAAACCGTTAATGTTATTAGTATTTCCGGTTACTCAGAGAGAGGTTAAAATGTAACAAGACATTAAAAAGGGCATGAAATATTTCAAGTCGAAAAAAACCGACACAAGGCAAAACAAATTAAAATAATCAACAACTGACTAAACAGAGAAAATAAACATGGCAGCACGGGTAACTCATGTGTACTGGAAGACCAACGGTTTTTGCTCAACTAGTGACCTCCATCATGATGCTCAGGATTAGTAACAAATAGATGAAAAGTCAGTAACTTCGTAGGTGATAAGAAAATGAAATTCATGCGTCGGAAGCGTTTGTTGGATTTAACATCATCGGGAACGCTTAAAGCCGAATGTTTGAAGGCCAAGGATGTATATAAGTACCGACAACGTTTAAGAGCTTTATGAACAAAATAGCCAAATCCATCTAAGGTCCATGCAACTTTGCCAGGTAACTTTTGTCGAGTCTTCATATTTCTACACTTGGTGATGATGACAAACAAGTCTTTGATAGTCTCTGGTGTAGATTCCCATTCTGTGTATATTTAGACATCTCACTGTTATCTTTTTTATAAGTATGTCTTGTGAACTAGCACGTTAAAAATCCGACTCCGCGTGTCGGTCTAATACAAAGCTGGGTTTATATTATATCACATTATCATGTGTTTATCGTCTTGAATATGCCATTTAATTTACCACTGGACAATAAACTGTCATCTACCCATTACACCATTCATTAATGCACTTGCCAAGTCGGACTTGGCACTATGCACGGTACGCAATCCATCTTTCTACATTGAATCATACACATAATCAAAATTGCACATAATGAAAGTAATCCTATGATACTATGTACAATTGAGGCACAGTATTTGTTATCCGGTATTATAAGATTGTCTCAGGTGAAATTTCCCCAGAATTCATTTCATAACAGGGACATTTTGGAAACAATCTATCAATATTTATTTCTCAGAATCTCTGGTCTACAGAACCTTTTCGTTTGTCAAGGAAGTCGTGCACACCAGTTTTAAAATGTCGTGCGCACGATTTTTCAAACTGGTGCGCACCAGACTAAATCTCCGGCAAACAAAAATATATATATTTCCATGGCACTTTTAAAGGGGCTCCGTACTGGTACGAATTCCAGAAGAGTAATTTTGTGCTTAATCAGCATGGATATTCATTTTAACGACACTTTTATTAATTTATTAATTCATTTTAATTTCATTTTTCGTCTTTTATGAAATGTTGGTGTTGACAGCAAATCTTGACAGTCTCTGTTTAATTTATTCATAACCTTATAAATTCCACACGAATTAGAGCTCGACATATATCGACACCTGCCTATTGCTGAAGACTCAACATAACTTTGAAGGTTTTGGTTACTTGTGTTGGTGGGTTGTTGCCTCACTGACGTGTACCCCAAATTTCATTTAATTCATCTATGATATTTTAGACAAATTACGAATACTGTATAAAATACATTACTTTTAAATGTCAATTTTTAAAATTAATCATCAGTCGTCTTTTGTTAAAAAAAAATCGTCATTGCTTGCAAAGAACACCATATATATTACACGAATATCGCATATCTGCAAACAGGTTTTGCATTATAAAATGGGTTTAAACAGGATATATCATAAAACTGAAAATGTCAACTCTCAACATCTTTTGATAGCTGTAATTCTTATTATGAGTCACTGATGAAGTCCGTAAATCAAGGGATGTACTACTAAAACGTGTACTTGAGCCATTTTGGAATATTTAAACAACATTAAGAGGCGTCTTTTGAGAATCAACATAATGGTTACTTACTTTAGGTACACATTATGCATCAAACTTGTCATTAGTTTTAATGCTTTTTAATGAACAATTGAACCTATTGAAAATTTGCCTTATGTTTCCAAAACAAACAGAAACAAATCAGACAAACTATAAATAGTAAAACATGTTCCACCGCTACTTACAAAAATGTGGTCTTAAAAGTTCCACACAAGGGTAGAGGGACGGAAGGACCTTTTTCAGGAATTCGGGATTCACGGTGCCGTTTAATTCACGGGAATTCATGGAATAGCCGGTTTAATCGTCGGGAATTCAGGAATTCGGATTTAATCATATCGTAATGCAGAAACGGACGCATTAATTTCACGGGAATTCGGGATTTGGCATTTATTTTACTCGGGAATTCGGGTTGAGACCCCCTCATACCCCCTAAAGGTAAAGTATACGTTAAGTTGTTTCTCCATATGCCTCTATCGTTTATATATCTAAATAAAAAAGAGGATTATTCAAGCTGATAGATGAACAAAAATATAAATATCATAGTACAATGTAATTAACATCCCATGCATCTTTTGGAGATAGGTATTACATAATAGATTACTTAAAATATGTACTGTGTTGTTACATAAATATACAAGCATGAAGGAACGTCGTATGTTGAGTATACATTTGTACGTCAAAACGATATGTGTCAAACAAAAGACAAAAACAACAAAACAATATATCTATTGAGCAAACATATAGTATTCAGCAATAGACATGTGTCTTTACAAGATGTCTAGCTTTTAGAATAAATAGTCCCGAGTCTATAAAAGATGTGAAAAAACCGACATAATACAATATCTTCAATATGATAATACCCATTTATCCACATTCATAAAACATTCAGATATGACATACGACACATCGGACGTGGTTCATGACACAGGCGAGGTTAAACTAGTTTTGTAAGATCTAAACCCTCTCGTTTTATATAAGTACTAATCTACGTAATTTACATTTTCCCACTGCACGTAAAAATAAGACGGATGATACCAAGTTTAGTTTAGGGAAAATTTGAACTCAAAAGTCGAAAAGAGTGTAAGGTACAATAAAGTACATAAACTCTACATGGAAAAGGTTTAGAGGCGCCCGACAAACATGTTTAACCCCGCCACATTCTGTTTTGCCTGTCCCAACTCAAGGAGCCTGTAATCCAGTGGTCGTTTGTTGTTGTATATCATATTTGTATTTCGTTCATTATTTTTGACATAAATCAGGCCGTTAGTTTTCTCGTTTGAATTGTTTTACGTTAGTTGCCTTTTACAGCTGACTTCGCGGTTTGGGTTTTGCTCATTGTTGAAGGCTGCACGGTGACCTATAGTTTTAACTTCTATGTCATTTGATCACTGGTGGAGAGTTGTCTCATTGGCAATTATACCACATCTTTTTATTTTTATAACCTAAACCAAACAGTCATATCAAGGATTGATATAATAGTAAAATATAATCCTTGGTCTTATTGGCAATCATACTACATCTATACATGTACTTACTTTTGGTAAGCAAAGTAACCTTTATTTTTCATCCTCACTATATATCATTCATAAAAGAAATAGATAGCGAAGTTCTATTCTTCAACATTTGAGCGTAGTCTTTGTATGCAGCTAAAACAGAACATGCTACGTCATTATGGTATCTGGTGGAGAGTTGTCTCACGGGCAATCATACCACTACCTCTTATTTTTGTATACTACCACATGCATAGTCAATATATTAATGTTAGTATATTTTCTTGAACTTACAAAATGTACCAGTCTAATTGAATTCGTAGATTAGAAAAATAAACATTTTACGTTATAAGTTTTTTTTGAAAATTTGTATATATTTGAGAAGAAACGCTTAGTTGTCTAAACAAATATAATCAGAAGTCCAATGACTTGTGACGTAATTCTTAGTCAAAGACATATATTTATTAACGAAATTTAAAGTGCAAATTAAAGTTCACGGTAGCGACTTTTGTGTACCAACATAATATTCCAATCAATTAAGGTAGATAGGGTGTCTTCCTCCATCTTGGATTTTGAAAAAGCAGAAACAATCGGTCTAGATCTTTAATGAAATTAGCAAATTTCGAGAGTAGTATGTAATTCATGTGTAAGACTTTTCATTTTAATATAGAAAATAATGTTTTTAATCATATTTACAGCTGTATTTTACAAAAATCAGATTATTTTTGTTTTATTCATTTTTTTTTAAATTTTACCATATAAGGGTAGACAACTCAGTTACAAGGGGAGATAACTCGATAAAGTAACTTTTGTAATAGAATGTGTTGTGAATTTACCTATTTTATCATGTAGCAAGAAAACGAGTCCCGTGACCCCATTATTTCTTTTTCTTATCTGAAAGCATATTATCAGAGCTATATTCTCATATTTTATCTTAAAATTCTATGGTGTTGTTTTCTTTTTATCACCCAAATTTGGGATTTCCATGCATAATCTATACAAAATCTGACAATTTTGCACAACCAATACCGTGAAATATAGCGCGGTGACCCATACTTTTTATTATATTTTTAAAAAAAGCATGATATAAACTTCATTTTGACAAATTATCAAATTATTCTATGGATTTAGACTAAGACCCCCCATCTACCTTAATGTAAGTATTAATTAACAATATACATACTATTTTACCTGTCTCTTTCTACATGTATTACGTTATATAAGCGATGTTTAAGGTTTTTTTGTTCGATAATATTAGCAAATCAACGGTAATTGGTTACAGAATTTACCTGTAAATTGACATCTACTTATCGATCAACTGAAGAACACCTGCTGCAGAAACAAAATGTCGTCTGATAATATCGGTATCATTATAATGTTTACTTTCATAGGAAACAGTCATAAGTCATAAAGATTCTTACTAATGACAAAACATCGAGTATAACTACAATATTGACTTATTTGTTTAGGTGGATGGCGGTTTTTAAACAAAGTGCTATTAAGATGTTAAATAAGTTGTGATATTATTATTATTTAAAGTTAACGATGTCATCAAAACAATTTTCTGAAGTTCCTTACCAGAATTTTTCTTTGATCAAACGTAACGTAAAAAGTAAATGCCGACAGGGGAAACGTTTGAGTGACGCCGATTTGTTTGTAGATCCATCATTCCCTCCAGATTTGACGTCACTTACATACGTCTACACAGGAGATGATAGATATGAAAAAATGGTATTCAAAAGACCAACGGTAAGTCATTTTAAATGTCTTTGTATTTTTTCCCATAATGCACATCTCCCACTTGAATGTAATGTGGACAGTTTAAAACGCTAAGGATGATATCTCATCATATGCATGTTTAGTTCAAATTAATATTTATTCCATTCTACATTGAATTATAATCAAAAAGTCAGTTTTTTTCGTAAAGGGGTCGTACTTATTTTTCTTCGCGTTAATTTTTTTTTCCTAAAAATTTTGTAAATTAAACGCATTAGTTCGAATTTAGATTTCATTTTACGGAAAACTCCGTTGTTTAATCAAGTGCAAACTCATCAAATTATCAAATAAATATATATGTGGTAAAAGACACCGATTTATTTCAATGTTAAGATATTGATACCGAGCTAAATACGTCAAAAACTAATATATGACTGTCTTGACATGAACTTTTGCTACTGTAAACATACAATCAAATCAAAGTTTGAAAAATAATAGTCATATCAAATTGCTTGGAAAACAAAAGCTGAAATTAATGTCTCCGATGTCATCTGTTACTAAATATATCTTTTCACTGCAATTTGATCATGGATTTTATTCTATACTTTTACATTTTTTGAGATGAGTCCACTCATTCTATGTGTTCACCAATCGCCACTGAGCCAGACAGGAATTTATTATGAAAATTTCTCCTCTAACTCTAACTAACATTTGTAACCTCACACCTTTGAATCCTTGGCATTTGGGGGAACTTTGTCACATAATAACAAATGCATCAAGCTATATACGCAAACTTTTCTTGTGGATAAGAATAAGAAACAAAACAAAATGATATCTATCGGTATTATCATAAGAGTGGGATTATTGACAAACCACTGCCCAGCGGCTCTTTTCACAAAACAATCTTACGAGTAACGGTACTCGTAACTCATGAGTTTGTAAAATCTGTCATTACTAGTAATATATATTTATTACACCCCTCTTCTACGATAGTCTGGGCATCCGTCCTTTTGTCTGTTCGTCCGTGTCGTATCAGGCTAAAATTTGATTAAAGATAGTTTACCATGAAGTTGTGGTCACGACAACTTGAAACGTATTACACATGTCCATGATGATGTGAATTGAAAAAAAATCTCTACACAATATTATGGTGTTTACTCATTTTCGCGGAACACGAAAATGTGAGATGGTTCTAGCGAGACATACATGAATTGTCCTATGGAAAATATTCTTTTGTATGATTATTTTTTTTCCTTCCAACTATTCCATTAAGTATCTTTAGTCTTTAATGTTATTGAATTTATACTCTAAATGAATGGCCGATCATTGTGATACAAAACAGAAGAACAACATATAACAGATAATATAAGAAGATGTGATATATTTGACAATGAGACTTGGGACAGACACAATTTAAGTTGTGTCATTTCAATTTTAATAGCAAGTATGATATCTGGTGATTATATAGACAGTGGGGGTTCGGAAGCTATCGAGAATAGGTAAAAATATTTTATTGTTAAAATTTTTTTTTTTTCAAAACTAATTTCATTAATTCTTTATTTTAATAATAAATATCAGTCAATGAAATTAATTGCTGATCGTGATTTATTCTGTTAAACTACAAACATTTGTTTTTTCATTTGATAATTAAAATATGATTATTCTCATCGTCCTTGGTTCCCTGATTAGAAGTACCCTAGTGGTTTGGTTGTGTGCTTGTAGGTGTCATTTTATATGTACAATGTAAGATCAGACAAAATTAAAATCGTAAGGTGACAACAGGTGAACTTTTGGGTATTGATTAATCTTTTGATATTACATGTAAAAGTGTGAATCTAATAAATAAGATATGACCTCATTATAATGTAACTAATTGATTGATTGATTATTGATTGTATTTTCATAAGTCTTGGCCAAGTCTAATGATGAGCCCCGTTTTCTCTTCCCATATCGCAATGTCGATATGTATACGCAATTACTGAAACATATTAATATTCTAAAACTATTTTCAATAGTTCATTTGATACATGTATATTATAACATTCAAGATTAAAAATTAGTTTCCCGACAAATAAATACATCTGATCTCACTGTAACTGCAAACCACGATGCCATTGTCAAAATATAAACCCTACTCGTTCCAGTTATAATGACATCCTACATTTGTACATTCATGGATAATAGAGACAGAAGATGATAAATAATTAAGATTACCGTTTCATGTCTATATATGTATAAAATTCAAGTATCGAAAGTTCATTCTTAGTTTTCTATTATTCATCCTTGCATTAATAAACAATTAATTATGTTATTTTATGAAAAAGCAGTTAAAGACTATTTGATATTATTTTTACGTTTTCAAATACAACAAGACTAAACTATATGGATTTTTAATAATGGTACATGCTATATACAATAGTATATGTATATAGAGATTACAGGAGATGTTGGGTTTACGTCCAAAACGCCAAACAATAGACAAGTGTCTTTACCAAATAGCCCGCCGAAGGTCAACGTAGTTCAGATACTAACATTTGTTAAGAGGTTTTTAACTAATAGTGCAACTTTATTAGATATTATCACGTGTGTAGCGTAATATCCATAAAATGTAACCGCCAAGCGTTGAGTGGAGTATAAATATATGGTAATTCCAAGACTTCTCCCGTCTGGCGTAAAACTCTTGCTAAAGTGAGGCGTCGATGCATTTGGTTGTGCGGGATGCATACAAACGCATTGTCGAAATTGGGCGTTAACTCTGGTTCCTCGAAGATGGTGAGTGCCACGATCTCGGCAAGGAAAAGAAAAGATGCAACAGCTCCCTGGAGGTCTGTTCGTGCCTGTTGCAGGGTAAAATTTCTGCTTCCGCTTTCCGACTTTCATTATAAATGTAACATATTGGTATGTATCGATTCTTATACTTATCTAGAATAGAGTGAGTTACAATAAGTAAATGACAAGGAAAAATTGGAAATACATTGAAAAACATTTATACCGGTTAGAAGACATTCCGACTTCCGGAGACTGTATCAACAAAAAAAAAAACTTTTAAAAAAGGGAGGAATCCTGTTCTCAATTGGAAAAATTGTGTTATCATAATAAAGTATAATTTATGTTGAAACACTGTAAATTAAATCATGATTAAGTTGGAAGCACATCTTAACGGAAAAATGTAGGGTAAATTTCTACGGAAGCCGCTTAGGGTCACATTGAAAAAATATATGTCGTTATTTCGAAAAAGACCCTTTGGTGAAATAAATTCCGGGTAAGTCGGCCCTACCTATATATCGTTCTCTGTATAATTATTGTAATTGTTATATTATATAAAGCAAATGCAAAGACTTCATAAACTGATAAAATTTGTATCCGATCCTATTTGTCTCTTTTTGTACAACAAAAAATAGTTATAAACTAAAAAAAAATCTATCTTGTGTAAAACGAATTTTAACGATATCCAAAGTAACAATCTGATTAACATAATTACAGATCCGGTGTCCAAGCTTTGTTTACACGGGTTCGAAAACGCTCCATTCTACTTTCTGTTGTAATGACCTTTCGGGAAACACAATGTGTTGGACGATACGAATTACTCTGCTTGCATCCAAGTCCTTTTAATATTTTATAAAATACATGGTGAAGGTTGGCGCCTGTTAAAACGTTTAAACCCGCTGCATTTCTTTGCACCTGTCCTAAGTCAAGAACCTGTTGTTCAGTGGTTGTCGTTTGTTGATGTGGTTCATAAGTGTTTCTCGTTTCTCGTTTTTTGTTTATATAGATTAGATCGTTGGTTTTCCTGTTTAATTTGTTTTACACTAGTCATTTTGGGGCCCTTTATAGCTTGCTGTTCGATGCGAGCCAAGGCTCCGTGTTGAAGGCCGTACTTTGACCTATAATTGTTTACTGTTTACAAATTGTGACTTGGATGGAGAGTTGTCTCATTGGCACTCATACCACAACTTCTTATTTCTATGTAGTGTTTAAAGACCAAAGATCAATATGTCTTTTGTGAAATTATGATCAACTACTGAATGTTAGTTCAATCATTTATATGTAAGGATATAAAGCAAAAAAAAGTGCACATGTAAGTACAAAATGGAAGGGTAATTTCCTTTGAATTTATTTCACAAACGAGCAATTTTTATGCCCCACCTAGGGGCATTATGTTTTTCGGTCTGTGCGTCCGTCCTTCCGTCTGTCCCGCTTCAAGTTTTTGGTCAAGGTAGTTTTTGATGAAGTTGGAGTCCAATCAACTTGAAGCTTAGTACACAAGTTCCCTATGATATGATTTTTCTAATTTTAATGCCAAATTAGAGAATTTCACGGTCCACTGAACATATAAAATGATAGTGCGAGTGGGGCATCCGTGTACTATGGACACATTCTTGTAAAAATTCTTTTTATCTTGAACAATTTCATTTGTGAGAAAGACAGTTTATCATCTGCGAGCATAGAATAACACTAACAGAATGTATGGAAATTGATTTATATTAGAGCACTAGTTCCTAATCCTATTTTTGAATTTTTTGTATACTTCGTATTATTTATTCTTGTAGTTAAACATAATGACTTATTAACTAAAATATGTTTACACTAATACAGAATTCAATCCGGACATAGCGACGAAACATTTACATATTAAAAAATATTTTAACATTTAATGATAATGTAACCGGGGATCATGATTCTTATAAAAAAAAACGCGCTGTAACCGAATGAGCTATGAGTTTGTAAAATCTGTCATTACTAGTAACATATATTTGTTATCCCCTCTTCTGCGATAGTCTGTGCATCCGTCCTTTTGTCTGTTCGTCCGTGTCGTATCAGGCTAAAATTTGATTAAAGATAGTTTACCATGAAGTTGTGGTCACGACAACTTGACACGTAGTACACATGTCCATGATGATGTGAATTGATCTCTACAAAACATTATGTTTTTTACCAATTTTTGCGGAACACGAAAATGTGAGATGGTTCTAGCGAGACATACATGTATTGTCCTATGAAAAATATTCTTTTATATGATTATTTTTTTTCCT